GTGGTAGAACTCTTTCTTTTATTTTATTTTTAGTTCTACAAGTAGGTTTCCAAGATTCAAGAATCATAACATCCAAGATCCTCTCTAACATGTTTTAGTGAACGTATTATCTCAGTATATTCTTACATCTTGCAAAAATAAGATACTGCAATGCTAAGAGCTAAGTCTAGTAAGTCTGGTTCTTTGAAAAAATTTTAATAGACTATTTCAGTTAATCATTTATAAAAGAGTAGTTACTGAATGATAATGCTGCAACAATACTTCAACAAATTTTCTTTGATATTCTGGACACATTAGGAATGTCATATTTGGTTACTTGGAAAGTAGTGGTAGAACTGCAAAATATCCAAAAACTGTGATCTTTCTTGTTTTTCTCTTTGCCAATACTTAAAATGTTGCACCTGTTATGAATGAGATCTTCAGGTATTTCAAGTAACGGATTCTCTGCATTATTTGCTGTGAACTATCGATTTAGTCATATATTTCGAAAGAGCCTCCTTCTGAATCAGTAGCTTTTTATAAGTAGATGTGTGAAGTTCCTAAATTTCCTAAAGTTCCCATGGCAAGTTCTTAAAGAGAAATGAAAAGGTCTATCTATCTTTTGAAGTGGCATGACTTCCTTATGTTCATGGTTAGATTCTTGATCCTGTTGATGTTGATGATTTTAGAAGTGACTGTGGACCTTTACGAAAAGACCTATATCCATCGACAATGAGAGACAAAATCTAACTCTTTTAATATAATTCGTTAACAGTTTATTTTTGTTTTCATTACTAAACTGACAACATAATTATTTGCTTTCACGCAAATAAAATATGTTTATTATTTAATAACAACATGCAGATCGTGTATATCAAACAGAGATGACAATATAAGAAAAACATTTAGAATTAGTAACATTTTCACATTAGTTTTCATTGTGACTGTTCGAATATTATTAGATTATTGTCAATTATTTTCTTTCAAAGTCTGCAGTTCCAAATATAATTGTATTGTATTATATGGATTTATTAAATGTAACCTCATTTCCACAAAAGGTAAAAAATACCGAGACGTCACAATAAACTTACAGACGTTACCCCCTTAAAATGTAAGGACGGTCAATAAATCTATCTTTTAAAATTTAGTTTTGTTTAGCCCGATTTTAATTATAGATTCAATTAATCAATAAATTACACAAATGTTCAGTCATTTTTTGTTCTATAAATAAAAGCATCATACAGGGTACAACTACAAAGTATTAGGGAAAAAGGAGATTCGAGTTTTTCACATTTCATTCCTCTACATAACGATTAGAGAGCTAGAGCCAGCTGCCTTGTTTTGTTAAATACGAACACCCTGTATCGTACAAATAATGTATAAAATTATATAAAAAATTAAAATTATAGATTCTTAATTATTATTTACAGAATTTGCAATATACAAGTTTTGCTACTTTAAAGTATATTTTAGGGTACAATATCTCTAACAATAAGTGTAATCTTTTATAATCCATATTTCAACACTGAAAGATGCAAGAGTATTCAGTAGATATCACCTTTAAAAACAATTTGAAAATTAAACATTTATAATGCCTATTACCCCAATGCATCGACAAATTATTCAGTTAAAAGTGCCGCACAGTTTCAAAATAAATAATCAATATCAATGTTACATCAATTATGACTTACAGTAATCAGATCAAATGTATAACAACGCATTTAATTGAAGAGACCTTTATTTGATAGATATACATTATTATATTATAAAATATATCAATTCAAACTACTTTTTTGAAAATGTCCACTTGCTTGGACATGACATGTTTCACCACACAGTGGTTACTTCACATTGCACTTGTGAAACTAAGTAAATAAAGTGAAAGAATGCAGCAGTACCGCAAATATTACTACGTAGATTAAGTTATCTATCGGGACATAGACTAGGATTACGATATTTGAACCAAAATATGCCCATTTGGCCAAATAGTGTAAGTTTAATTTTTTTGGTTTCTGATTGCTAATAATTTCACTGTATATTTATTTATATATTGATACCAAAATCTGTACAAAGGCATAGCTTTGGACAGGGAATATTTTATTTATTCATTTATATTTTGTTATAAGAGAAGCCACTTAGATGATTCCTAACTGTTTAAGTGATTTTGATTAGAAAATGTGATGTAAACATTATTTTTTATGTCAAATTGATACCGTTGTTTAACCACTATAATTTTAACTGTTGTCGAGAAAAACGCATTTAAATTGTTTATAGTCTGGGAATGTCACTTCAAATAATGAAGTGACATTTATATGCTTTGGGCTATCAGATAATTGTTGTTGGCAAATGCCATTTCTTGTAAGAGAATTGTTTTTGCTGTAACATTCTAGTATATTCAAGGGCACAATTATTTTACAAATAAAGAAATGCAGGATATATTTTGTTTATATACACAAGAAAAATTTGTTGTGTCGTTTGGCAGCTAGATGATATAGATTGCGATAAGAAGACAGCAGGATAACAACTCACAAAACATTTTCAAATTTATTTCATCGTTGATGTGAAACAGGGTAATTTTGTACTAACAATTGGGGTGATAGATATAAAGGAAAAGAATGCAAATCCAAAATTGAGTTCTCAAATAATTAACTATTAGCAGTAACAGGAGTAAGTCAGTAGTCATTTTTTTGTTTGACGAAGCAATCATTACAAGGAAGAAAATTCGCATGGTATTAAAGATCTATCGACATTTTCAACACAAGTTTACTAAAACTACTAGGCTCATTATATAATTTAATGGAGATTACTTCTTTTTGCAAAAAACATTTAATTTTTGGATGCTCTTATACTGGACGCAAGAAGACAAATTAATGTGGTTTATACACTATGGAGCACCACGTCATTTCCCATTAACTGTTGGAAATCTTCTTAATGCTATATCTCCTCAACGGTATATATATTGACAGAGGAAGTGATGTTGAATTATCACCAAGAAGTTCCGAGTATCTATAATCCGTTTGATTTTCATTTTTTGGGGATATCTGAAGTCCTTAGTTTATGCCAATGAAATTAATACTCAAGACGAACTTTGAAGGAAAATAAAGAATTCTACTAATTGAGCCAGAGAAATATTTTTTAAACTTCCGAAAATCCTTTATAAAAGAATTAAGAAAGACACAGAAGTTAAAGGAGACCATGTTGAATATCTAACCAGTGTTGGTTCTTTTAAATTAAATTATTTATAACTCGGAGAACTAAAAAAGAATACAACATGGAAGAAAAACAACTTTTACTTTTTCAACTATTTAAATACGTTGGTCTCGAAAACAAACACGTTTGTGTTTAAAAACGAGTACAAATTTAACATAAAAATAATTGTTTATACCATATTTCTAACCAAAATTACTAAAAAGTTTCTACTCAAATACATCATCAGGAATCATCCAGAGTCACCGATAAAAAATATAAAATCTTATTCCTTGTTCAAAGATATGCCTTTTTGTCGTGATAATATTAGCAAAAAACGACAAAAAAATATTAGGGAATATAGTGACAAGTGGACATATATTAGTCCAAACAACCTAGCCATAGGCTAGGATCAAATATTTATAGTTCACTCTGTATATACATTGCTGGATTATCACAGAAACTAATAGTCACCATCAACGTAGCAGGTACGGAGCAGTACTAATAAAAATCTATCTCTAAACGAGATATTTTTATGCAATTCAACTAAAATTGTACAAATATTTCATCTCTTTATTATATATCTTCTATGATTTTAATGGCAGCGTTATCGTGAACCACCACATATCAAGGAATCTTTGAAGAAATTATACGTATCTAAGCTTCATTTTATTAAACAAACCAAATATTTAGTTATTTTATAGGATAACAGAATCCTTCGCTACTTTTTGGTATCCTGCAATAGAATAGAGTTAATTCGTAATATATATTAGACAAAGGATTAATATGCCTCGATAGCGAAAGCACACGGAGACAATTAGAAATCATACACGGAATGAAATACATGGATTATGACAAACTCTGAATTTAACTGGAATTTAATTTCATAAACAAAAAGAACCAATATAACTTGACTGAGATAAGTCAACAGTTGGAACATCACAGAAAATCTAAGCTTCGTCGAGTGAACATGGGTTTTACTTCTCGCTACTATTTTACGAATAAATTTCACTAACGCCAATAATTTCACCAATACATAACTTTTGAATCTTTTGTTAGTATTATTAAAATTTATTTTAAATTGCTAATTACGCAATTATAAAACAAAGAAACAAAACAAACCAACTTAAAATAATAAGAAAAGTTCAGATAAATCAACTTTCAAAATGAAACGAAAATGTGAGTATCAAAAGGCACAAGGTAGTAAGAACTTCTTGAAGTTAGCTTCTAACAAGGCTACATAGCTCAAACAATATATTATAGTACAATAATGTTAATTAAGAGGTCTCAGCTCTGATGATGGTAATTTTATCTATTTATTATTCAATTAAACCAGAAATATTTTGAAAATTTGATCTGGATTACTAAAAATAACAATCGATAAGTTATATTGTACAACACTTTTATACTCCTTTACACCAACTGTTCTCTCTCCTTGGGGCTAAATATTTATTTATAAGTCATTGTTGTTAACATCAGATCTTTATTTTTGGCTCCATATTTTTTCTACAAAGATGAGAAGTTTTAGGCCAAAATATATACATTTTGACTTACTGAGAATATGATCAACGAGCTAAGAAAAGAAACACACAGAAAATGATATTTCTTCTACGTATGTAATTCTTGGAGCTATTTTATTTGAACCGCTAAGTACAGGTTAGTTTATAAAAAATAAATAAATATCTACAGTCATCTATCAAATTTGATCGACTATTTGACCAAATCTTACTAGATAACCGATTTTTACCAGTCAATAAACAACATCCTGTACTCGATTAGCTGTCTTACAAAAATACCTCACCGTCTGTGCGTTTCTGCTTAGCCCTAACGTAAAGTTACGCATCACTATAGTGATTTTGGTCACTAATCTGGCGCTTGATCTTCTTCGGCTTGTCCAATTCCTCTTGCATATGTCTGAATCGCACGAATCCTTGCTCGTCTACTAGCATAGAATCCTGCAACTGATGCCTGTCGTGATTCGGTAAGGTCTGAACTCCTAAATGTGGTCTGGGGTGGTTCTTTCGCGTTCGACCAGTAGACCTGCGACCAGAGGTATTAGAACTATTTCTAGATCGCCTGTCAAAGTCTGATCGCTCAAATTCATGTCTTGTTCTCTCATACTGGTGTGAACCGGGATTATCAACAGGCTCACTGTATATATTCCTATCGGCGTTATTAACGAACATATCTTGTTGGTAATCATCATTAGTATATTCCATGTCATACTTAGGTTTAACATAGTATTTCGCGGAATCATAAGCTTTTCTTGCAGAGGATCTATCGTTTCTTAACGAATTTTGGACAGAATTGTGAGGACCTCTTTCGAAGTTACCAGAACCTGGTTGCACAAAATTATTTAAGCTAGAACCATCATTTGTACGTGCGTCAAATCTGTCAGATCCCCATTTTGGTCGTTCAAATCTATCAAAATTACTGCCACGTTCACTATCACTTTGATATCTCTCCAATGTAGATTTCTTATCAAAAGAGTCGTTCTGGAAAGCGTTTTTCAACAAATTTGGTCTTTCAACAGGTTCTGTCGGAATGTTATCCATAATCATTTCTTGTCTACTATAGTTAAGGGCGTTAGGATTAGTGTTACAATTATTAGGGTAAATATTATCAGTGCTGGAATCGCTTGTTGTGCATGGGAAAAGTGGGAAGCCGCCCGCAGACTGTTTTTCTCTTTGGGACATCTTGAGACTCACAACAATGGCCAGTAAAGTAATTATAGATATTTCTATAAATCTTACCGATAGTTCAAAACTCCACAATATCCAGTGGTGTTTGATTTCTTTGTTGAAACGATCAACTTTTATAAAGAACAGTGCATACACCTGTACTAAACCCAAGAGAATAAATAGAAGAGCTACAGCTATAGTAATATGACTAGCGTAAGAGATATTTTGTGTGCACATTTCAGACAAATTCTGACTTTTCTTTGCAAGAACATTCTTGATTATCCTATAAAGATACAGATAGCTGAAACCAAGAGCCCAAGCTAGCAGAACGAAGAACGGTTTACATACATTTAAGCTGGCTTTGTCGAAGTGACCCAAGGTTTCCACAATACTTAGACAGAAGCATAAAGCTATGTGTAATAACGCAACCACCACAAGAATAACTGGACGAGTTTTAATTTCCAAATGAGTCAAAGTTCTTTTCAGTAAAAATAAAATCAGCACTGCAAAAGTTGTCGCAAGTAGACTTAAAGGAAAATTATGAAGAAAATCATAAAGAAAAACATTAAAAGAGTTGTACAAATTGTAGGGGTCATATATAAGGTAAAATATACGCAACACACAGATCACAGTAAGCATTAAATGTATAGTTAAGAAATAACTTTTAGAAAACATGTGAGGATCGTTTTCATAGCGAATTAATTTATATATCGAAAACATCGCCAAAAGGAAATAACCAAACACCACCAAATAGACATGAACGTTCCAACAGATTAACCAAATTTCGTCTGACTTAGCAATGGTAACGTTCATTTCTTTGTTGATATCTTTTTCCTTTACGTTAGGTAAATTAAGCACATCTGACATCTGCGTGGTCACGTCTTCGGGATTATTTTTCTTCTCAGATATAGTATTATCCTTTTTTATGGTAACACTTTCTGAACGATCAGGAGGACCAGATTCCTGAACAAAATCTTTTTTGGAAGTGGTATCGTCATTTCTGGTATCTTCTATTTTAGGTTTTACGGGTTCTTCACTGGAATCATCGATTTTCAAACTGGGTTCGGCAGCAGGTGCTCTAGTTTTTGGTATTTTGGGTTCGAAATGTTGAACATTGGGGGTGGCTGTAACCGTTCTCAAAAGTATATCGGATATATCTTCATGTCGGCCATTTGATCCACTTAATATTCTCGTAATTGACGTTATTGCCGGTATTTTTTCGTACTCGAAAGTGCTTTCGTTCATGTTTCTGTTTAATCCATGAAATTCACCTATTCTAACATTTTGAGAAGGCGTGTTTAACGACTTCTTCTTTTCGTTCTTATTCTCTTGTGAATGGTTTGGATTGGATGGGCGGTATTGTTCGTTATTATTGTTATTAGTCCTCTCAGGTACTTTTTCCATATTAACTTTGGGTAAATCTGGTCTGAAGGGAATTCTGTCCTTCGTAGGCATTAGACTTGGAGGTGGTATAGGTCTACGATTAGCAAAACTATCAGAATTTGTACCTCTTAAAGTTGGTTTGTCAGCAAATGGGTTTTGATATTCAGGTGGAAGAGGAGGTGTGAAAAATGCTCGACTAGGGGGAACATAACTCGGTGGCTCTTTTCCATAAATAGATTTAGTGGGTCTAACATTTCTTAGTAAGTTATACGACGTCGTAGTCTTGTATATGTTTTCAGTAACTTGTTCCGGATTATTATTTACATTAAAGTCCGGTTTTAACCGGTCATTGTTGTACCTGTTAGGATTATTATAGTGTTTGTTGTTGTTGTTTTTAAGAATATCGGCAGCAGGAGCTGAAGTGGGTAACGCATGGTCCTTTTCAAGATCAGCACCATATCCATTATCAAGATCCCTTCGATTATTTTCGCTTTCAAAATCCGGTTGTTCGAATTCTACATTTGATCTTTCGGGAACCGGATCTGAATTCTTCAGATCCACCCTAAGCCATTCCTCGTTACCGTTGACGTATCGATACGTAGTTAATAAGGGAGTTGCCAATGTCGTTACCGGATAGACGTTATCAGGAATGGATCGTTTGGTCGTACTACCATAAGCCACTTTGTTAAAAACAGCAGCGATGCTCTTTTCCAAATTCACTTTATCCAGAAATTGTTCTGTTTTGTCAAACTCATCGGCAAAGCCATCGACGTTCGCAAAAGATATTAACAACACAGCAGCAAGCAACACCCGACCCGAGTGAGATTTCCTTTTTACAATTGACCATTGACTTTTATATAGGCACATAAATATTTTCCATAAACTTAATATTATAAAATAACTAATAAATCGTGTACAGTCTTTTTCACAATATAAACAATCACAGATAACATAGTTGCCTTCGGAGGCATTACAGTTCTCTAACTTATCTAAGTCACTATCGTTAAACGGGCTAACTGCGTCCAAGGGAGCAGTACTGCTAGATTTATGGCCAGGGGTATTTCCTGTATTATCATTGTTATAAAGATGAGAACTCCGAGATCTTGGGCGAATTCGATCACTAAGTAATCGTATGCTGAGTTCGTCATCGTGGAGCAGTCGGGTGCAACTAACGTCCATAGTAGATGTAAAGCTCGAAGCCTGTGGCACAACCAAATTTACCAATCTTGTGTGACTGGCGTCGACAACATCGCGCTTCGTACATGAGGTCATTCTTCTGTCATAGTGGAACTGAATTGGAGAGGATAGATGAGCTGTAGAATACGACTAGGTGCAGGTAATGAATTATAGTGTCAAGTACCTGAAACAAAAAAAAAGTATTAGTATGTCTGACAGAAGTATAAAAAGTTTTAACAATATAAACGATATGAGAAAAACGTAATCATAATCGAATAAAACTGTAAAAAAAAATTCAGTGTGTATAAGTGTCTTATAAAGAACCGTAAAATATTTCAAACCACCCTTCTTTTATGTTTCACTTCAGCATGGCCCTAATAACTGTTTTATAGATTTTAGGTTAGACACACGATTCAACAACTAAGTCTTTCTCATGCATAGAAAGAAGCATTTTTAGGAAAAGGATATTTTGTCTTTTTGATAATTATGTATTTAATTACTTTGTTCTTGTTATTTAATACTGAGCCCTAATATTGAGGAAAAGGTGGAGGCATATTCATAGGAATGATTCTATTTCTACAGGATTTCATACACATCTGAATTTTGTGCAAATTTTATACGTTCTCTCATGTGTTTTCGTTATATTACTACAGTTTTTTGACTCAATACAATTTTACTGTCGCTAGGTGCCGACAATATTATGGCCATATCTATAATATCAACCACATCTTCATATTTAAGCATATTAATACCAAAATTAGATTAAAACTTAAGTTACTGGGTGTTAATATCTAGGGTTTCACACGGGACAGTCCCGGTCCGTGTCCTGCAAAGCTAACTTAAATTATATTTTCGAAATAAGTATATTTTTATAATAATGGTATAAAGAAAAATTTAATATTTAAACTTTTTTCTGAGCACATTTTGTTTTTACAAATTGATTTAACAATTAAACATCAAAATTATATTATTAGAACAAATTTAATAATTAGTTCACCTTCTACCAGTGGCACTTTTTCAATTAGGATCTTTTGTTTATAGCCAAATAAAAATAAATACCCGTTAGCCAACTTTTTCCTACGAAAAGGTCATTGTTTGGTTTGTTCCAACTGAAAAATCACATACTAAAACCGCTTACGACTAATGCTATGTTCCGACTAATTGGTCTTCATTTAAAAAAATGTTAGAAAGACTATGTAACAAACCCACAATTTCAGTAATGACTATCATTTTTTCTTTTATTTTTTTCTGGTAATAAATTTTCCGGTCCGTATCAATCTCCAAATTCGAATAAAGCTGAAACGTACTATTGTACAAGAAATTAATTACTGTTTTTTTATGAAACTGACATTACTTCGTGTATACATGTTCCACAACACAGACCCAGACAATAATAATGATAATTTAATAGACCATGTGTTTCTCAAACAAATGCAGTGGCTTAGGACATGAATGAGAAACGTAATGTAATTACCGAATGTCTGTTCTATATAATGCACAATCTTTCTTAGGTTTATATTTAAATAAATGTAGAATATAACAATAAAAACAAACCAAATAAAAAAAAATACTGTGAAAACTATTGTTTTTCTACAAATATTTTAAAAAGTGTCTCTTAGATATCAATTCGTGTTTAGTAAATTATACATTTTATCACTAGTTATAGAAACAATTGCTCAAGAAACTAATTCGAACGGATAGACAAAGGGCTGGGGGTGTCTTCGGAGCCTTATGGTTAGTGAGAATGCCGGGAAGAAGTTGATAGACTAGCTGACTATAACAATGTCATAGATATGGGTGTCATGATAATCAGGGAATAAATGGCAATGAAAGAGCTGATCAACTTGCAAAAATACAATCAGCTATAAATAACTTCGTTTTAGAGCCTAAAAGTACCGTGCTCTGCACTGCAAATGACAAAATGCATATTGTACATTCCTTACTGGACATGCGCCAATAAAGGGATATACCATATACCTGATAATACTGTAATAGGAATTGTTCCTCCCAACGTGAGAAGAATCGTGGTTTCTGAAATTGTAAAGAAACAAGAAAGTAAACCGCGCCATCCTGTTTCTCCAAATCTAAAGGCGTCTTGTAGCTTTCAAAGAAACTGCCTGTTAGTGTCCTAGATCCTAAAAAACTGACTGCGAGTTACCAGTTACTTTTACCAGCACGTTACGATTCAAGTCAAATTAAAAAAGGTAATGGTAATCTAGATGATGATAGATGTAACTGTGGCAAAATACTGAACTCTGAGCGTCATTGGTTACTACCTACCTCGGCACTCTCCTTGTCTTAATGGCAACCAATGTAAAAGTTATCCAAGTGGTGAAGTATGCATTATATCAGATTTAAAGAAATAATCCAGACATGGAAAATAAGTAAGTGCGAAATATTCCAATAACTTTTACCAGAGTAACGGACACAAAACGGAAACTATATTTTTAATAACGGTACTTCTCCGTTTGAATTAAATGAAGTCGAGAACAACAGGAGGATCTCTGCTGTTGTCGACCAGAACGTAGGTTCCACAATTTTTTAAATAATTTTAAACTGTTTTTCCTTGTTTAGTGTAGTGTTATGTACAATTTTATGTTTATGTTATTCTGCGATTGTTGGATAGCCCAAAGTTGACGAAATGCCCCTGAAGATGCTCTAGGAAGCAAAAGTACTTGGGCAAGATTTAATTAATAAAACTGTGCTCGATATCTGCCTTTCATTTTATCAAAGTTCAATTATATTCTTAATATTACATGTAGACTAAGACGTATGAAAATGACAATAAGGAAGTACAATAGGGCATAGTACGAATAGTGGAAAGGTAACATTACTAATTAAAAAAAAATAGCAAAGAGGAAGATTTAATCAAAACCATTAGAACAGGTTTGGAAAGGTCGGAAAGAAATGTGGACGGATCATCAATCATGAAGACACATACCTTTAAAAAAGTTTTACTTTTGGTTTTTTATTCATTAAAACATGTTAACCAGTGCAAATATTTCAGAAGGCCTGGAGGCAAGGGTGTGTACTAACCATGTTGCAGAACAGTGGTCACAATTAAAGCAATACTTGAATTCACAGAGTTTATTATTTTACAGAAAAACAGACGTTTCGAGGTGCGCAGCAAGAGGCAGCTAGCAAGGTTAGTTAACTTGGTCAGGTTTAGTTTTGTTTGGTTAGGTTAGTTTTAAAAAAATCATTCAATTTAAGACCGTTCAGTTTTAAGTCATGCTGTGTCAAATGATCGGTGACATAAAAGATCGAGAATGATTGCTCCTTTTTTAAACAAAAAATAAGTCAGAAATCAATATCAGACTAGGAGGGACTAAAGGAGAACTCTTAGAGGCGGTACATTTATAACTGGCAGAATAATAATGAATTCACGATATGTGTGCAAACATTCATCATTCCATGATTATTTGCGTAAATGCTCTGAGCGGATCTAGAGGAAGATGAGTAAGTAAATGAGTCTGTACTTTATTCACTAATAACAATCACTAATAACAATCTATATATCTGGAAACAAATGTATATATCTTCTTCTTTAGGTACCGTCTCCGTTAAGGAGGTTGGTAATCATCATAGCTATTTTCACTTTTGAGATTGCAGCTCTGAACAAGTCGATCGAAACTGCAATTATACCACTTTCTCAGATTGTTGAGTTCAGGAGATGCGTCTTCTTCTAATACTTCGATTTCCCTGTATTATTTTCCCTGCATTATGGTTTTTAGCAACACATATTTTATCCCCTCTCATAACGTGGCCGAATAATTGTAACTTTCTTATCTTAATCGTATTCATGATTTCCATTTCCTTTGAAATCTTTCTGAGGATCTCAACATTTATTATTCGGTCTACCAAACTTATTGTATATATACTGATACCATTATTGCAAAGAGCTCTTCAAAAGAAACGCAAACATTAAAAAAATATATTTGACTATTTTCTGCTTCCAATTGCAATGATGACAAGTGACGCAAATTGAATAAATACTTTTTTGTGTTATTTATTTTTAAATGTTCGGAATAACTATTTTCCTAATTCAATACTGAAGGTGGCCGTTGTTTGTTTTCAAAATGGATACAAAATATTCAGTATGCAAACAAAGCGGAGAAAAATAGAGTTCTGGGCAAACAACAATTAGTTTTTAATAGGTTTATAATTGAAAACTCATCACATACTATAAAATATATATAAAAATAAGCGAAGAGATTCAAAATAATATATTGTTCAATTGAATTATTTCATCAGATATTTGCAACTTATTTACGACTATATACGAATTTACCACTATATACAATGTAACAAATAAAAGAATAAGACAAACCATGGACAGAACAACCACCATCATAGAAAAATTACAACTTATTTGGTATGGACATGTACAAAGAATAACAGTCGAATTGATAGTCGAAAAAGGCCATTTGAGGGAGAGATGTATTGCTTTGGAGACCGGGCCAGTAGTCGTGAATGGAGACTGATATATTACATATATCTATGACTATGCTAATTATAGGGCCTATGTATAGAACATCCGTTTTCAAATTTGGGAATATTTCCAAAATTTTTCCAATCAATATATCTAATGCATTTTTTATGTCTTGTTGTACTAACAGATTATACGATAAACTCCAAAACCCGAAAGCTTCAATTCGTCTATGATAATCAGATTCTGAACATGAATCTGTCAAAATATTTTCAAGCTGAGCGAGGTGACTATACTCATTGATAAATGAGTGGCTCAGAGGCAAAGGTGATTAAGCCACAAAGTCGTATTTTTGTGATAAATCATATTTTTTTAAGGAAAAGCTAATGCCTTAAAACAACATTTAAGAAAAAATATCACCTATTTTTATTATTCTAATTCTGTGTTCAAAAAGTATAGGCACATTTGCCGTTACAAAAAAATATATTCCTAGAGAACGTGTTAAGCTATGTTTAGGCACATTTGCCGTAAAGAAAACTAAAACAAGTAAATTGTCCAAAACAAAAATTGCGTATTTTTAATTTTCATGTATAATTGCTTCTTCTAAGCCCTGATCTAAGGCATCAGAACTATTTTTCAATTCAGAATAAAAGCTGTGGAACTCAGG